CTTTGAAAAAAAAAAAAAAGCTGGCAAATTCGTTTTTACGAAATCTCTCGTCTAATTGAGAGTCTTTTGTGACAAAGAGAGGAAGAGAGAGAGAGAGAGAGAGAGAGAGAGAGAAAGAGAGAGAAAGAGAGACAAAAAGACAAACGAGACGAGAGACGTCGCTTGAGCATTAATTCTTTAATTAACGTGCACAGACGACAACATTATAACCCGAAGAAGATGAAATGTAGAAGAAAAAAAAAAGACGAAAAATAATAATAAAAAAAAAAAAAAAAGTTTCCGCCTTTTTCGCTAGAGAAACTCGAAAGTCGTGAGTGATCGATGCGTGAATCTTCTGATCCCAGGAGAGAGTGTAAAATCACAATCAATTATTAAGTATAGTAAATTTAATGCGAAAGAAGACAGAGACTAATAGGGGTTGGGGTGGGGGAGACGGCGAATAAAACATAAGCATATAGGTATCGAATTAATTAATACACGATCGCGAAGGAGGGGATGGCCGCAGGCATGCAAAAAAAAATAAAAAAAAAAAAAAAATAAACAAAAAATGAAAAAAAAAAACAAAAAAAAAGTATGCGAAATATGAAGTTATTCGCCAAAAAAAGAAAATAAAAATAAAAATGAAAACCTTGGTAGCTGCGCATAAGGATATCTATAGCTTTTGGTAAAGTATTATATCGCCGCTAGGCTAAAGACAAAAAAAATTATACACACGCACATATGTACGTATGTACACGTCAAGATACAGTGACAATGAAGAACTTATGTTCACTTACATCTACACGACAAAAATAATATACACATACACCAGTACGCAGTAATACCAGGAGGAATATAATTTAATGCGGAACCCGACCCAAGAATCGGGCCCGTGCGAAGAATCGAATAATAAAATCAATACGAATAGTAAATTAGAGCGATATGTTTGAAAAACGTAATCGATCTCGATTATCCGAAACACTATCTATTAATTATTTAATTTCCTTTACTAAGATACATTATATTAATATAAATCCCTAATTGCAACTTTAAATCTCGAGTAATTTTATTTGATAAATAGAAGAATTTCAAGAATCGTTAGATTTCTAATAAGATGTTCAAAAGTGATTATTCTATTTATTACTGTCATTTGTTTATTTGTTTATACGTATAAAACATTCTTAAATTGGTTTTTAAATTAGAAAAATTCTCTGTTCTACATTATCTTTACTCTCTTTTTCTCTCTCTCTCTCTCTCTTTCTTTTTTTTTTTTTTTTTTATTAACTTATTCGATATTTGTTATTCGTTTCGAATAATCGAGGTATCATCGTAATATATTCGCAAAATTTTTACGTCAGAACGTCCGAAAATCGATCGAGTAAAAATGAAAAAAAAAAAAAAAAAGAAAAAAAAGGAAAAACAGAAACGTTTCAAAATCGCCTATTCGAACCGCGACGTAGAGTCGAAAAGCGACGAGAACGCTGCTCCAAAAAAAAAAAAAAAAAAAAAAGATTATCGACTGTATAAATCGAATCAATGAAGAATAAGAAAGAAGAGTTGTTTTTATATACTAATTAATATATTCGCTCGAAGAGAGAAAAAAAAATGAAGATGAGGTTGAGTCGAATGGGACTAGTGTCCTTATATGTTCAACATAAGCTTCTCTCGAGACACACGGACGATTGCTTCATCATCCTATCTAATAAATAACTAAATAAATAAATAAATGAATGAGTAAATAATAAATTAATAATAATAATAATAATAATAATAATAATAGTAATAATAATAATAATAATAATAATAATAATAATAATAATAATAATAATAATAATAATAATAATAATAATATCGATAATGAAGAAAAACAAAAAAGGAGTAACAAATATCGCCTCTGAGCGCGAAACGAGACGCGCTGATTGTTTCGACTCGACTTTTTGCGATATTCGCACGGACCTGTAGACGAGATATATCCGTGAAATCGGCCAATTGGGACACGAAGAATCTGTGCGTGCGCGGCAATTGAACGCTTCGTGATTCTCGTGTATATTTCCTTTTTTCTTTTACTTTTTCTTTTTCTTATTTTTCTTTATATAAATATATATATATATATATATATATATATATCTTCTAACACTCGAGATATTTATTACTTGAGATAAACGTTTCTTAACGTAAAGATTCGGGAAATTATTTATTCAGCAATCTTGTTTATTATTTATTGTTCGAACGTGCCTATCAATTTTGAATCATGTCTATACGTACATACGAGAATCGGTAAGGAAAACGCTGGTTTCACGAATATCGTTCAAGTTACCTTCCATGTAACATCCATGAGATAATCATGTTATTAAGACTCTGCGTTTTTTAATATCAGCGAGGATCGCTCCGGACATCGGGCGGACAAAAGTGTTTTCAATAAACTGTTACATTACCTGATAGTTTGTCATTTATTTCCCATTATTTACGAAGCAACTTCGCATCAATTTTGATTACCATCAACGACTGACTTCGTGTGTAATCAATAAAATGATATCTCATAATTACCTTTGAACTTCTAAAAAGATTTATGTGAACGAAATTTCACAGATATTATCTCATTTTCTTGATGTTTTATCAATTACGATGTTGGTACGGAAATATGACAAAAAAGTTAATAACAATCAATGAGATAATCAATGAATAAATTGAAAAATTGTTAATTTTTATCGATAAGATTTGATCTAGGAAAGAATTGAACCATGAATATACGTCAATCCAGAAGGAAGAAAATTTCGATAAAAAGTCATATTTCGGAAGAATTTATACGTGTCACCCGAAGCAACCAGAGATTTATTGATATTTGCAGGCCATCTCGGTAACCTAAACAAAAATTAAAAAAATAAAAAAAAAATAGAAAGAAATGTTGAGTTGGAAACATTTAATATAGTTCTGAACTATTTTGCTTTTAATAATTATTTTTTTTTTTTTTTAAGTTTTCACAAGCATCCATATGCAACTCGTTCAAAATCTCTAAGAGAAATGAATTCTACGTATAATAAATTTGAAAACCTTTCCAATCGGTCTTCCGACAGTAGTATCATCTTCCTTGGATCGTTTCATAAAACTCCACAACTTATTATCTTGGACGATAACGATGAAGAAGATGACAAAGTTATGGAACATTTAGATACATGGATAGCAACGAAAAAACAGAACGTAAATATTTTCTTGTAACAATATATCGATTATAATTAATTTATTTCAGTTCATCTTTTCAGAAGGAGCGCCAAAATTAATTACATCAGACCAAATGTTACGCAACAAATGTTTTTTTCAATGAAACATATTTTAAATCTATACAAAAATAATTAAATAATTTTATTGATATCAATTAACGAATAAGTGTAATACACATATGTGCATGAATTAATATACGAATTAATGAGTGAATTATTTCTTTAAACGTTCTTGTCTTGTTATAATTTAAATATAATCGTTTCCTTTTATTTTTCGTGAGATATAAATAGCTGTCAGAAAATTACGGCAGAAAGATGATATAGCTTCTATCTCGGCTTTGCCCCTTCGCATTATTCTCGTCTGTCTTAACAGCGCCTCCGTCATGTAATGACGACTATTGATAGATGTCAATTTCGATAAATCCCTTTCGGACAATGAAATAGTTTTCACCCCTAATACGCTCAATTCCGAGGGGTGAATGCCAAGCCAACGAATTTTCGGACAAGCTAAACTATCATTTTCCTTCGATAATGTTGAAGATCCGAAGCTAAATAATAGAACATTGAGAAAATAGACAAGACAAAAGTCGCGAATAAAAATTACTTGTAATTATATGAAATTTACCGATAAACACACATGATATCCATGCCAAAGGGATCAGCATCTACGATAATATAAATTGGAATATTTAGTTTTTCCGAAAGTAATTTAATTAGCATCCTGGTACCAATATCTGGGTAACCCTTTCCTGTGATTAGTATACAATTCAATAATTCCGTAGTATTCTCTTCTAATAATTTTTGAAATATTGAATCTTTCTCGACAATCAAAACGAATTTTGCTTTTACACGAATCGAGATAATATTTGAGATTATCTGAGGAATAAGTGCACCTCCTGGAACATTGCAATCGATAGTCTGGTTGTCCATGAAGTATAGAGTTAAATTTCCTGCTATTAAACCTTTGGACGTAGCAATGAGTCCTATGAAATACACGTTGATTATTTCTTAAAAGTTAATCTATATATATATATATATATATATATATATATATACATGTATAATTTATATCATATTATCTATATAATCTATATAATCTATATAATCTAAACAATATGATGTTTGTAATTATGTATACGTAAAATTATTAAAATATACGCACCCAAATCCCACGGTGCACAATTCAAAAGTTCAGCGACATCATGCACAGCTAGATCTATGTATTTTTGCGTAGGAACCAAGATACTTGCTATGTCGTTTCTTAAATCATAATAAAAAGATCGCCTAGTTATTTTAGTATTTGTAATTAATAATCGATGTGACATAGCCATAACTTTCATCATTAAGGCCAATTTGTTTTTACTCCTTTTGCGACAAAAATCCATACTATCTGTCACATTCACTGAATTGTCATCTTCATCGAATTCCAACGTCTTATCATCAGATTCATTAACATCATTTTCTAGTGATTCTAATGATTCCATTTTATCATAGTTATTTGGAACAAAGACACTTGGAAATTCTCCAGAACAAATTTTCTGTATTATCATAAGAGTTGTATATTCAATCTTACGTATCAGTATTTTCCTAATCGAAAAATAACAATGTTACGTTTATATGTTTTTAAAATAAAATATAGCTGATTGTTTTATATTATTGTATTATTGTTTATTTATAATATATCACCTTAATGGTTCATTATCGACGAACGGTATATCGATTCTTTTTTCATCCGTATTTTCTTCCTTATCAAGACACAGTAAGGTTGATCTTATTCGTTTTCCAGACAACGTAGACATGATTCTTAAAAAGAAATATTTGTGTTTTATTAGAATATTATTTCTCCAATGCTTTTTCATTTTATAATTTCTAACATAAATAATAATTATAAATTAAAATTAAAAATGTTTATTTGTGATTCATAATACGTTCTCTAGATGTCTACACTATAATCTCCATGTCATGAGAAACGTTTTTATCGACACTATTTTTACAAAAATAGTGAAATGTATAATGAAACGTAAGTGACAAAATCTATTTAATTTTGACTAATGCCAATGATGATGACATCTTCGACATTTTTGATTCCTAAAACTTTTTCTCATAAAATCTAATTTATACTTATCAAAATAGATCAAAAGATCAAACTATACAAAAGATCGTCCTCTCAATGTTGTTATGATGAAAGCAAAACAATAGGCCAGAATATATACATTTTTTATAAAAAACAGTATGTATTTATATACATCAATATACATCAAATATTAACATAATCAATGTATATCAAATAATATGTTATTGTATATATAAATAAAATAGTTAAAAAAAAAAAAAGAAAAAAAATACAAATCATTTAACTCTGATATCAATTACGTTAATTAGAATGAAACGCATGTAAGTCACATTTAAAAAATAATAAGAACGATAAAGTCAAAAGATCACGGCCAAATTCTAAATTCACTTTATAACTTTCGTTTTACACATTTATAGTCGAGGTAGGAAAGCATTGTAAGATAAAAATCTACTGCCTATCGTCCTATTCGAATGTAACATTCTCACAGCAATAAACATATTAAGTTCTCGTTTGTTCGAAGATATATTGACCGTAGAAATGATGGAAATATCAGGAGAAAAGGGACATTAGTTTTCCATCTTAAGTCTACATTCATATCGAGTAGCAAATCTCAAGAGAACCGGACACCCTGCTGCGCATTTGTGAGCGCCGACCATTCAATACCACGCTACTGTATGTACTAAAGACACTCCAGGACCTCATTGTGCAACACAAAACACAGACGCGCGGCAAAATGTCCGATTCCAACGAAAATCCACTTCGACCTTTCGAAAAAATTACGCGAGTATAAAGTTTTGTTTCTCGATCATCCTCATCGTATTTCAATATATCAGAAAAAAAAAATATATATATATATATTATTTATAGATAGCAATAAAATCCTAAGTATACTTTCGAACGCACGTCGGCTATTAAATTTTCTTAATATAATTGAATAGTTCATCAATCAATATTCGATAGAATAAACCGATAGAATTGGAACGAATTTGTTTGATGTATTTAGAGATTTAAAAAAGTAAGTCCGTGCAGAAGATAAAAGCAGTCTTGACTACAGCAGAAAAAAATAAAGAGAGAGAGAGAGAGAGAGAGAGAGAGAGAGAGCGTCCCCGAACATGAGAGGTCAGAGTTCATCCCCATGTAAATTATCGCTATACAAATGGCGCGAGTCATTTGAGTCTGCAGATGCAATATAAATTTTCTCCGAACGGCGAGTCCGCATTGATGACCATTACCGGAAGTGCGGACTACGCTGAACAATAAATGCTAACGAGCTGGTATGGAAGTTTCTGACACGCGTCAAAACATTATGGAATTTGCCATTTTCCTTTTTGTCGTGAAAGACGCTATTTTCAGACCTTTTTCCCTTTTTATCTATTTCGCAAAAAAATAAGTTCAGTTCAAATGTCCTACTGATCCAACCTAGAGATTATATCAGTCTCGTATTAAATTTAACTCTATTGGTCGAAGGAAAGTATCGATATGTAATACGATAAAATGTTTGTTAAAGTACAAAATGTCAAACTCTTGTTAAATTAATCGATGGCGATTGAAGACACATTCCTATGATAAAACTATTAATTTCTTAGATAATAAAATGAATTTCGCTTATTGTCAAAAAATATTTATAACGAAATCTATTAAATCTTTTATTAGTAATATCTTGTCAATAATTCCTTCTCTACTTGATATGAATTTTGATGATATGATACCAGTAAAAATCTTTTCGATCCAAGAACACCACTCAAGACTTTAGTTCTTCTATACCAGTTCTCTTTAACACTCAACAAAAGGGATTATTCATGAAAAAATAATACATCTTCTAGGGCACGCTCTTGCTCAATTCCGCATTAAAGATACTCCAAGGCTGCGCGCTCTTACAAAAGACCAGGGGATAGTGTTACATTGTGCAACGAGTATATTCGAAAAACACCCCTTAGAATGGTCTCTTGAGTTCTCAAATAGCCCGTATACGAACGGCATAGTTCTCTTCGTCTTCACCGTCGCGATGCGTCCTCCAAAATATCGGTTAGACCTAAGAACCGCTTAAAGAATTTGCATTGGAATATAGATCACTTGAGTGGATACTAAAAACGTTTCGAAAACTAACATTTCAAATTTCTTTTAGCAAGATCAAATACTTTTTCGTTCCTATGATCCAAAGGTGACAATAAAATTCGATTCGTATTTCGATCGTACCTGTGAGAAGAAGGATCGAACGAAACTGGACACTTTACATCCTTTCGAAAGATCAAGAAGACCAACAAGTAATATTGAAAGAGCATTTTTGATTTCCGGTCGACCGAAAGACCATAATTGTCGCTACAATCTCGAAATTCGATCCTACATTGAAGACTTCTTTAACGTCGACGGTAAATTCGCTCTATGAATGTTAAAGCAAAGATTTTTCAAAATATATTTTTCACGCATGACGTGACACACGTGGAAATACCAGTCGAATGTATTTCTACCTGCCGCAATCGTGCTTGACTTTCAGCTACTAGAAATAAAAAAAAAAAAAAAAGTTGGAGAGGATTTTGTAACTCGATCGTCGAAAAATGCTCGATATTTCATAAACCGCAAAATCTACCAAAAATCGTCCTAGCAAGAACCGATTTTTCTATTGAAAGAAAGAGAAAGAAATGAAAAGACGGTGTAACAGTCGACGTTTCAAAGATCAATGGCCCCTTCTTAGGAACTCGGCTCGATCGAATCTCGCTTTCTCTTTCTTCGACATTTTTTCTCTCGCTTTCGTTCCTTCATACGTCGAAAAATTCCAAAGATAAGATCAAATTTGTCCAAACAGTGGGGGTTGAGACTGCAGGGGTTACTTCCAACGTACAAAGTTTGATCAAAGAAACGTAGAAGGGTAGTCTCAAAGGTATGGAAAAAGTATTTTACCTCTTTTTTATTATTGTTAATACTTGTTATTTCTTTTCGAGTAACGTTGTTTGACACTACTGATACAATAGTGCGTTTGTCTCATATCAACTTTTCGATCGACAATTAAATGATATAGAAAATGTCGAAATTGTCGAACGTAACTACGATTATTACTTTCGAATAAAAATGAATAATATTACTATTTATTATTAATTATTATTTATATATATATATATATAAATTTAGAATTTAAAGATTATATTAAATCTAACGATGATCTCGAAGGGATGGCTGATTAATATCGCGATCTTGTCCGTATTTTAAGATCGATTCGAGATCCATGGGTGGGCCTTTACCTAATACCATGGCGACGACGGGAAAAAATATTCTTGTCGAAGATCGCTTGATCGATCGTCCATGAATTGTCGTACATGAATAAGTCTCGGCCCTTTCAAATCGATCCACGTGGAATTCCATATGAAAAGGAATTTCGACAATGGACAGATCGAAACTTTTTTCTTTCTTCTTCTTTTACTTTTTCCTTCGTATATTTCACGTTGTTCTTGTTTTAAAACGTACAATAGACTTGTCGATTTTTCTTTTTCATAAAGCAACTGGCTTTTCACAATTTTTTCGTGCGCTCTTCGTATGGTCGAACGTCAAAATTTTGCAAATGGCACTTATCGATAGCACTTGAAGCCACCACAGTTTTGCGAAGGGATCGGGAACGTTATTGTAGCGACCACCGTGTTCACGCACGTTTCACACACGCCGACGATGCGAAGGGCGAAGGGCTTCGTCGAAAGGTACTTGACTCGAATCATAAGCTTGGGAAAGTTTGTCTCTCTTACTAAATGGGAAACGTTACTACGAACCCTTCATCGTCAATCGAGTCGATAACCACACAATTTTCGTTATTAAAACATACACTAAAATACTTAAATAAAACGAAAGCTAATTTACTTACATACTTCTTAAACAGCTTTTTATTTTTCTCTTCTAAGTATACATAACTAGGCTAAGGGGTAAAAGGGAATGAATAGGTAGATAAAAGGGTAGATAAAAGATAAATAATAAACGATTCCCTTTTTTGAAATAAATTAAAAGAAAAAAACGTAAAAGGTCTTATAACAAGTTAATGATCTTATACGTTTCTTAATGTTTTAATTATACACAATACACAATAGATTTTCAATTAAATCTCGAATTTGTTATATTTGCATCGATTATATCTTAAACTTTCCTTTTTTCAACTTTTCTCTCAGAGGAAAGAAACAACGATGAAAAAAGAAACACGATCATTGAATCAATTATACTTTTTAGATCACATGTGCAATACATTACATGATAATTAATCGATCAAAATAACGACATCACCGTTTTTCTATTCCTTTATCTTTTTCTTTCTCATAATCAACTTGGCGAGAGGAAATCGATCGTGTATCTAAGTAAGATGTCAACTTGTGAAAACGATCAAGAAAGGTAGCAGTTTTATTACACGTCAAATATCTTCAGATGGATCAAAAAGGAAAAGAAGGTAATATCATCCGACGTTTCAAGGATTACGTGTAAAAATAAAAAGGATTTTTTGTTGGGAAAATATAAAGGAAAAGAAAAAGAGTAAAGGAAATGAAGTAAAGGATTGAGAATCAAGAACGAAAGAATATATCGTGCATTCAAGGTATCGTTCGAAGTTTAACGACACAACAATATCTAACATTCGCGTCGGATGAATTTTTTTTTTTTTATCTTCTTTTTATTGCTTCTATAATAAATAAAAGATAGGAAATACGATGGGATCGATGCCAAAAAAGGGGTCTTGATCACGGTTTTTTGTATAGTGACATTC